CTGGTGAATTGATTTACATATTAAGTCACCAGAATTTCCATTGTGAAGGCCAGGGTGGGTTCAAGAGCACACTACAGAGCTGACTACGTTATGAGGAGAACTGGGTTCCAGCCAACCTCAGTCTCTCTCTTGCTGTGTGGCTTTGGGCAGACTTACTCTTCTCTGGGCTCAGACTTCTCAGCAGCAACCACAGGAAGATGGATAAGCATGGAGTTTCTCCCAGTTTGATGATGTTGTGAATCTTTAATAACTCTAATCTGTGGAGTGAAAAGCCCCATCTGTAGAGAAAGTGGATTCCAGTAGAGGTGTGGTCCTGTTGGGTCCGGAAGAGTCACATTGACTCAGTCCCTTGTAGTGAATAAATGGTGACATGGTGGACGTGTGAGTGGAGGCCTACCCCAGCCCAGCCTGGCCTGCCTCAGGGAAGTGACTGGACTTGCCTGGCCAAGGTTAGTTTCCAGAAACTCCTAGGGACAGAAATGTATGAGCTACTTTTCCATCTTGGTTTGAGACCGCTGAAACTTTGCGCTCCAACTGAGCTCAGCTAGCAGGCTCGCTCTAGGCTCTTCCCTGTGAGCCTGGCCACTTGCTGTGGCATTTAGTTCTTTCTTTTCCTTCCTGTGGGACATAACAAATAAACACCACTGAAGTTTTCACTTCAGATAAATGCACCTTAAAAAAAAAAAGTCTCAATAGTCCCTGTGCATCCTGAACCCGCCCTCCTCTGTCCCTAGCCCCTGTACCTTGAGGTTCAGGGTTTCCTGCTGCCTACAGGGACATGAGTGTGCTAACAAAACAAAAAATAATAGTGACAGCTGCAGATGAAGCCGGCATCGAAAGCCACATACCCAGGAGCAGTGAGCCAGGTTTGAACTGAAGGCCTTCGTGTTTGTTATGTGATGCACCTTCCCATCAGTGTGGCTGTCCAGAGCATGAGGATGGAGGCTGCTGAAGACCTGCAGGCTCATTGCCCAGGTCAGGCAGCTGCTCTGCCCCATGCACGCCCAGCGGTGGATGAGCCTTGGCTCTGTGTGGGTTGAACAGCCCACCGTGTGGCCTCTAGGCTGAGGCCAGCCTGCTTTAAAAGGCTTGTGTTTGACTCCACCTCTCAGTCGGAGGCAAATCCATGTCCCTGTGACTCCCCTTTGGTGGCCTGGCTGCTATCAAACCATCTGCTCCCTGGCTGGTCTTCCAGCTGTGAGTTTATGAAAACGAGAGACCTCTCCTGCAGGCAGGCAGTCTGGCTGGCTGAACTCAAGGGGTCACAACTTATTAGTGAGGTGAAGACAGGCTCCTGTGTGGACACTTCCACACTCCAATGGGGTCTTGATGACTTCCAGGGAAATCAGCTCAAATTAAGGTAGAGTGAGAAGGTTGTGTAGTTGGACTTTCACATTGAAGTGAGACAGAATTAACTCCTCCACCTTTAACACAGCACTTGACAGGAGAAAGGGGGAGGGGAGAGGGGCTCGAGTCTGACTTCACACCCATACTTTCTCTGCATTTGTGACACCCCCCCACCCCCCCACCCCCTGCCGCTGCCCACATCTATGGCCGTTCCTTGGAAGCACAGCCTGGAGGCAATGGCTTCCACTCCAGAAGGGGATATTGGGAAACTCACCTAGGGAACTTAAAGGATGCTCAGGTCCACCCCAGAGATCCTGATTTATTTAATAAGGGTGTGGCCCAGAATTCAACAGTTTGTAAAAAGCTCCCCAGGCAATTCTAATGAGCCCCCAGTGCTGAGGATCCTCCAGGACTGAAAGATAGCCCAGGCCAGCGTCCTCCAGACCTCGTTGACTCCCTCCTCTAGACGTTCTTATTAATTAATTATTTTTTTGGTTATGTTTCTTGAGACAGGCTCTCAAGTATCTCAGGCTGGCTTCAAAATTTGCTGTGTAGCTAAGAATGACCTTAAACTCCTGATCCTCCCGCCTGTACCGTATGAGTGCTAAGGCTCACACGCTACCAGCATGTGCTACTATACTCAGTTTTATTCAGTGCTGGGGATCAAACCTAGGGCTTTCTGCAAGCGCTGTACCAAGTGAGCTATCTTCTTATCCCAGTATAATCAGTAAGAATTTCAGAATTTAGAAAGCTTTCCTGGTGACCCTATTCAGCACAGTTTGAAAGTACTGTCCTGGGATCAGACCTTGCTCCTCTAAATGTGGTCAAAAAGCTAGCAGCATTGAGCTGGAGGTGGTGGCGCAAGCCTTCAATCCCAGCACACAGAAGGCAGAGGTAGGCAGATCTCTGTGAGTTTGAGTTTGGGGCCAGCCTGATCTACAGAGTGAGTTCCAGAACAGCCAGAGCTGTTACTCAGAGAAACCCTGTCTTCAAGTCCCCTCCCCTGCAAAATCCAGCAGCATGAAGAGGCCCAGCAACCTGTGGGAAACACAGAGTTTTAGGCCCACCCTGGCCTACTGAATTAGCATCACATTTTAGCAAGATTTCCAAGTAATCTGCATCCATCTTAAAAATTGGTGGCTTAATGAGGTCTTTGCTTGGTGTGACTGATGTAGACCTTTCATTCCAGCACTGAATGGGCAAAATCAGGAGGATTTCTGTGAGTTTTGAAGCCAGCTTGGTCTACAATAGTGAGTTTCAGGCCAGCCACAGCTACACAATGAGACCCTGCCTCAAAACAAACGAACAAATAATTAAATTGATAAATTTATTAATTAATTTTTAAAAAGCTTGTAGAATGAAAAGGCAAATGTGGGCTTTTCATTAATTTGGTCATTCTGTTGATAGCCCTTGAGCACTGGCTACCTGCTGGTTCCATGCTGGGCACCACTCATTCAAAGAGGAAGAGGGTATGAAGCGGGCACGTCGCTGTCGCTTATAACACAAAGATGGTAGCACCATTTGCAGAAGCTTGAGGAGACTCCAGCACGAGAATACACGAGATGTGCCCTTCTCTGTCCTGGGAGCAAAGGAATCCTGCGTCATCTGATGCAGGCGGGTTAAGGAGGCTCAGGATGACTGCAGGAGAGATGGACAGGACGGGCTGGCTTGTAAGGGTGTGCTAGACCCTTCAGAGGAATCATGGCTTTAGCTGTGCACAATGCAAAGCCCATGGAAGTTTCTGGTAAGAGAAAGGGGGCTGTCACGAGCCATTTGTTCCCTGAGGTGGAGAAATCCAGAAAAGTCCATGAAGGCCCAGTGAGGAAGTGGAGGCTTAAGAGGTGGTTCTGTTAGAGGAACCCCTGGGTTTAGGAGCTGGCGGCATCTCAGGTATAATTGACAAAAGCTGAGTAAGACTTGCAGGAGTGTAGGCTGACCCAGCTGGCACCACTCAGTGAGATAAAGGCCTGTGACGCTGAGCAGCCGATTGTGTGTTTGGGGCCAGAACCGAGGAAGGGAGTTGAAGTATGTGGATCTGAGAGCCCACCGTGTTCAGGGGCTGTTGAAACCAGGGGAGCGAGAAGCCAGAATTTAGAGAAAGGGGGATCCACAGCACACCGAAATGCACTGTGTACAGGGAAAGAGACAGGAAAGGAAGAGAGGAAGGAGCAGGGGAAGGGAGCCAAGGAACACATCGTGAGAGAACAGGTCAGAAAAGGGAAACAAAACCAGAGACTCCTGGTGGGCACAGAGTGCATAATTCATGGAATCAAGTGCTGCAGAGACTCTAAGGGGGAGATGAAGGCTGGAAACAGGAGTTGATGGGGAGACCGTTGGTGACCCGGATGGATGCAGTCATGAGCAGATCACAACAGTAGAGGGTACCGATGAAGATGCAGGTGTGGGCGTCGCTTCAACGTGGATGGGAAGAGGGGACAATGAAACAGTTGTTTCACAGAGAGGCAAGACGCAGAGGGCTTTGTTTCCTGTTTGGGTGAGAGGAAATGAGACAGTTTCTGAGCAGAGAGGATGAGTCAAAACTAGTGAAGGGTGAGGAGGGAAAGAAGGGAACTGCTAGTCATTCTGAGAACAGAGAGCGCATCTCGGAGAGGAGGCGTGGTAAGGTGGTACTCATCATGTCCCCTGTATCCCTCGGGGAGAGACTCACTCACCTGCCAACCAAGGGAATAGTGGGCTAAGGCTCCTGGGAGCAGGATGCGGGTGGGGGTTGGTGGGCCCCTTCTGCTGTGGCCCCAATAGCCTGAAGTATGTTACCTTGTTTCCAGCGACAGAGGCTCAGGAAGTAAGGACTGTGAAGGTGACTCGTTTTCTTCAGGTTGGGGAATTGCCAAAAAAAAGAGCAAGAAGAGAGGGCATTAGGAGCTGGGGGAGAACACCACTGATGCATGGATGCCATCGTCTTTGTCTGATGAAGGTCAAATGCAGGGGCAGTCACAGCCTATCAGTACGCCTCCCTCATAAAGGTGAAGCATACTGGGGAGACTGGTTCCTTGACTGTGTGGATGGAGCTGTTTGGAGAAAGGGAAACCTTTCAGGGTCTGCTAGCTGTAACTGCTGCTCTGTTCCAGACTGGCAGCTGGCTCTAGGGACAGGAAACCTCTGCTTTTACCTCTGGTGATTTGCTCTTCAGCCTAGGGAAAATCTCAAGATCTCAGGGTCAGAGGGAGCCTTAGTGGTCACTTAGTCCAGTGGCTCTCAAGCAGCGGTGACCCCTGGAGGCATTCTGAAGTAAGTGGTGACTTTGGTCATCGTAATGATTAGAGGCATGCTGTTGACATTCAGAAGGAGGCCAGGCACGTCTGGCTATGTGCAGTGCACAAAACAGGCTTGCACAGACAGCCTTGATGGATCCCTTGTCTGTCACAACGTTCACACATTTTCCCAAGCAGTGAAACACTATTCACAATAGTCTGTGAGTAGAGTTTACACATTAACACCCCTGAGCCCTCTAGAGCCATCTCTGTGTGTAAGTTGAGAAGACATTATACCTCTACAGGTTGAAATAGATGCTCTGTCATTATGAGTTATAAACTGAGTCATTTTAATTTTGTGTACCAATTAGGGAGATATATTGATTTTTTTTTTCAAATTCTCATTTCTTGAAAATAGGTTTTTCTGTTATTTTATTTCAGGATAACAACTATTATCAAAGGTTTGCTATAAAAGAGGATGCTCAATTTTGGTGGAGTTGCAAGAGGACCCAGCCCATTGTTTCAGCCAGTGAGTTGAGTTCCCTCTACGGCAACTCTCCTTGCTGCCGGTTAGAACAACTCCAGAGTGGGAATTCATAACCTGCCCAAGCACTCTGCTCCATCACTAGGGAGCTAGTGTTGACAAACGACTGAACAGGAAGAACGGAAGCTGTCACTCAGTACCTCCTGTGTGACAGTCCTGGGTGTGTCTTCAAGGCTTCAGAGGAAGTGACAGTTCTGCAGGAAAGCTTCCTGATATCCACGGATGCCACTGGCTCCACACACTCCCACCTGTCCATCCAATATTTCTGTCCAGACAGACTCTTCTCTATATGACCTGATTTGGGTGCCCCTTGTTTTACGGGCCAATCTAGATACTGTGCTAAGAGTGAGGGATTCAGAGAAACTGGATAATTGAGTTCAATGGACATTTTATAGACTCTTGACCAACATATGCCACCCACTGCACCAAGGTCTGGGAACACAGAGATGATGGAGAAACATCTCTTTTCTCCAGGAGCTCAGCTGGGAGTGAAATCCCACAAAACAGCAGGTTAGTGCACATCCCCATCTCCTCACCCTCCTCAGGCTGCTCTGAGTTAGAGGGAGTCGGGTTATTTAAAGGAGAAAATCATTGCTATGGAAGGATGGAGAAAGGCCATGCTCAGACGGAAGCTTCCATTAAATTCTGCAAGACCAAAAGCAGGGGGCGGTATAAGGTGGCCCTGTTGAAGGGTGATGCAGCATTAGCTTAGAATACCCAGAGAAGGAGCGTGGGAAGGAAAGGTCTCCTTGGAGAACCCGATGGGAGGTGGTCTGCAAAGGGACTGGGGGAGGGGGCAGAAGCACACTTGAAAGTCCACTGTGTTATAGTCCACAGCCTTATTACGCAAACTGTTTTCATTCGGAGTTCTGTCCTTCGGTCAGAGGATTAGAAGTTTCTTCTTGGGACAACCAAGGGTCCCTAAATATGGCAAATGGCTCTCAGCCAAATTTAGCTATTGAGAAAACCTCATGAACATGTGTACAGATCTCAAATAACCCATGTCCAATTTTTAAATATTTAAGTGTTTGTGTGCATGCCTGAGCATATGTATGTACACCACATGTGTGTAGGAGACCTCAGAGATCAGAAGGGGACATTGGATCCCCTGGAACTGGAGTTAGAGGCTGCTGTGAGCTGCCATGTGGATTCTGGGAACCATAACCCAGATCTTCTGCAAGAGCACTAGGCACTCTTAACCACCGAGCTGGCTCTCCCCTACAATGCTTTATTTTTAAGTATATAAACAGGCACTGCCCCATATGTTCTAACCCCAAGGGTAGCCTTCAACAAGACTGAGGCTGAGAGAGAGAAAGGGGAAAAGAAGACCCCGAGGAAGTAGAAACAATGTAAAGAGCAGAACGACCTAAAAACAAAGCAAGCAGAGCTCGTGTTTATATCCGCAGGGAGAGCAGTGGAAGGGAAAACTCCAAGGAAGAAAATGCTGTGGAAATGAAAACATTTTTAAAATGGCTGCCAAAAGAAAAGATTCAGGAGAATTGAAGGAGAGGGAGGTAGCCCTCCCAGAAAGCAGAACTGTAAAAATCCAATCGAATTGCACACTGAAGCTAAGGAGAACTCCCGGAAAGCAGGCTAACAAGACATATGGAAAAGATAACAGAGACGAAGGGAGAATCAATTGGGAAGGGCTCATACCGGACTAATGGGCATCCCAGAAAGAGACAACAGGGAAAATTGAGAGGAAATGATCAAATAAATAATAGAGGAAAATTCTCAACCCTGAAGCTTGAGGCTCCTTAAAGAGCCTGCTGAGTCAATCCAGCAAAGAGTGAGCATCTATCTGCAGCAGTGTGTCAACCTCAAATTCTAGAGACGAAGAAAATAAGCAAAAAAAAAAAAAAAAGCTGAGAAAATATATAAAATTCCAATAAACTTTAAAAATGCCATGAGAAGTTTTCATGACTCCAGAGTGCAACGGAACAGGCCTTTTCAATTTAAAGCAAAAGCCATCTGACTTCAATAGCCAAAAAAATGATCACCAAGCTTTGAGTAGAACAAAGGCATTTTTCAGCGATGTAAGCAGTCGCTGACCTATTTTAAAAAGTTATTAACAACACGCTTCACGGCGGGCCTGCAGCCCAGGCCTATAACTCCAGCTATTCTGGAGACCGAAGCAGGAGGACAAGTTCAAGGCCAGCCTGTGGTACAGAGTGAGTTCAAGGCCAGGCCAGAAAAGTTAGTGAGAGCCTGTCTCAAAGAGAGAAGGTGAAAAGAGGGCCGAGGCGTTAGCTTGGTGGTGGAGGGTTTGCCCAGCATGAGGAGGAAAAAATTAAGCCAGAATGGCAGACAAAAGCTCAGACTAGTGGCTCCACTCTGGAGAGCATCTGGGAAGAATCCCAGGATGCCCCAGCCTGAAGCTGTGCACACATTGTGGGGAGCTGCCACCCAATTTGGAGCCTTAGAACAGAGGAGTTACAAGACGAGCTGTTCTGAACAAAAGGGATACTCTGTAAAGCACAGGAGGGGCCAGAGCAGCCGCTTAAAGGAGATCAGAAAGTCAACAAGAAATTCCAAAATTCTGCAAACACAAACACTAGTCTCAGCAGAAACAGGGGCCATGAGAGAGCCCTTTCTGGTCCTGGCTGGGGCGAGCAGTAGGTCAGTGAGGACTCTCGCTGTAAGGGGAGATGTTTCGTTCTAAGTCTTAAGGATGCCTGGATCTGTCTAGTCAACCAACACAACAGACAGTCTTAAAGCTGCTACTGATGCACATGTGAATTTAAATGTAAGTTAGTTAGGGGCTGAAGAGATGGCTCAGTGGTTAAGAGCGTCGACTGCTCTTCCAGAGGACCCGGGTTCAATTCCCAGCAACCACATGGCAGTTCATAGCTGCCTGAAACTTCAGTCCTACAGCATCCAACAGTCCTTTCTGGTCTCTGTTGGCAAAATAACAGTACTCTTAAATTTAAAGAAATGCAAATTTGATAAATATATGTTTCACCACAGGCTCCTGCAAGATGCTGTAGCCCTAGGCAGTGTGGTGGCAACAGCAGGTGGGGCCAGCTTCTCAAAATGGACTTTGTTTCTGAAGTTTGAAAACATACATACCATATTTTCAATTTCATAAACATGTGTATATGGACACATGTGTATGTATGTGTCTCTGTGTGTATGTGTGTGTATGTATGCAGATGTATGTATGTATGCTCAAATGCGTGCATGTGTAAGTGTGTGTGCACATGTGTATGTATGAGTATGTATGTGTTTGTGAGTCATTCGTAAGTGCGTGCATGTGTATGTGTGCATGTGTAGTATGTATGTGCATGTGTGTATGTATGTGTGTGTCCCAGGAAAACTGTGACAGGGTAGAAGGACCCTGTCAAGAACATAGACTTAGAACTTCTCTACATTATGAACGGGGAGCCACCAACGAGGTGTAGTTGTTGAGACAGGATCTCACTATGTAGTCCTGGCTGTCCTGGAACTCACTGTGTAGATCAGGCTGGCCTCAGACTCACAGAGATCCTCCTGCTTCACCTTCTAAGCGCTAAGATTAAAGGTGTGCACCACTGTGCCCTGCTCACCAATGAGTTTTAAGAAGAAAGGTGGTTAGGATTGAATTTCTGTTTTTGGAAAAATACCTTGGCCGCAATAAATCCAGAAGCTGTTTCTAAGAGGTTCCGAAATGCAGAAGGAAAATCCTTTTGGTCTCTGCTCCAGTCAGGCAGGGATCATGGCCACGGCGGCAGGAGGGAGGAGGAAGCACATTAAACCAAACACTTGAGTAAATGTGAGACAAGACGTGAGTTGTTAGACGGGAGGGACAAGGAAGAGGGACGGCGCTTTTCTGTAGAAGTTCGGAGATGTGGCGCACCCAGTGAAGGTCAGTGGTTGAGGTGAGTGGATCCTCTCGCAGGAAACCAGCAGGGCTGCGGAGGAGCCCGTAGGGTGTCCAGACTGCACGCTCTGGGGAAAGGGCTGTGCTGGAGCTGTGGACTAAGGGGCCATCTGCCTGGGAGCCAGCTGAAGCAAGGGTCCAAAGAGCCTGCCATGGACAGAGAAGCTGGACCAGGGACAAAAGGTAAATCTGGTTTTAGCGTTTAAAAAACAAGTTAAGCTAGGAACAGTGGTGCCCATCTAAACCCCGCGAGGCAGCGGTAGGAAGATCCTGACTTGAGGCCGGCCTGAGTGGCATTGAGTGACCTTGTCTCACAGTGAAATGAAATGATAAGACAGGGCAGTCTGAGACTGCTGCGTGTAAAATAGAGAGCATCTTTTCGGGACTCGCCAGTCACTTTTATTTCCCTCTACTGTGAAATACCTATTTTGGGTTGTGATTCTTTTTCCATTTCTATTATTTATTTCAAACCAAACTCATCAGCTAGCTTAATGATAAAACCATGGAAGGATTCCCACTGGAGTAAGGAGTAGTTAGATGAAGTAGTCATTACAGCAGTTAAATAAGAAGAAGAAACGAAGAAGCGCCAGATCACAGAACAGGAAGCAAAAGTGTATCTTTAGTGAAAAACGACCTGGTTGCATAAGTCGAAAATCCAAGAAAATGACAGGAAAAAAATTGCAGCTAGTAAGAATTCTATGAGATCAGTGATGTGAAATTAATATAGAAAATTAATATCATTCCTCAAACAACAAGAAGTTTAAAATTATAATGGAACTGACTGCAATAGCAATAAAGACACAAGAATCATATGAAGAATTTACAACATTACTGAGGATCTCAGCAGAAGAAGCTACAAATAGAAATGAAAAATCTCGTTCTTTACTTGGACATTGCTTATCCTAAGTGTTACAATGATGTTCATTCTTCTTAAATTATGCCTGATATTTAATTACCTGGGTATCTTTTATTCTTGGAATCAGACAGGTTTATTCTTAAGTGTTCATGAAAAAAATAAACACTCACAGATATCCAGGAAATTCTCTTTAGTCACCTCAGAAGCGATCAGCTCAGCTATTTGTGAAAACATAATTAAAATAAAGAGGTACTGGAAAACATTCAGTCAGAGCGGTACAGCAGAAGCTCTCAGAAGGAGAGCCAGATTAATAGAGGAATTTAGCATTTCCTGAAATGGCATCTCACACCAGAGAGATTAAGACAGGCTGTTCAGTATTTAAGGCTATAACAGCTGGGGATATATTTTGGAGAAAAAGTGACTCTTCCTTCAATCTTTACATCAAAATCGAGGAAATACTTGAAAGTTAAAAGTGAAGCCACAAAAGCATTAGAAGAAAACATGAAACACTTTATACTTAGTATATGTGTACATAGCATGTTGGTGTGTGTATGTGTGTGTGTGTGTGTGTGTGTGTGTGTGTGTGTTGCTTGTGTTTTGAAGCAGGGTCTTACTCTGTAGCTGGGGCTGGCTTTGAACTAGTGGTAATTCTCCTGCCTTAGCATCTCAAGTGCTGGTATTACATGTGCCACCACACCTAGCACATGTTCTCTCTCTCTCTCTCTCTCTCTCTCTCTCTCTCTCTCTCTCTCTCTCATATACATATATATTCATATATATATATATGTATATATA